CACGCTCAAAGAGGGTAAACATCGCGTGACGTATACAAGCAAGAGCGTAACGATGAGATCGCGGCAGCATGCAAATTGAATTAGGCACACTAACACATTCTCACTTCTAGCGAATGCTTGTCTTCACAAGATTAAGTGTGCGTAGGCAACTGGCTGAGTCAGTGGGATCGTCGGTTCGAACCTTACTGAAAGAAGTCTGATGAGGAAATGTGATGATTTCCGAAATAGCTATCACGTCTAAAATTTTTTCAAATTATTGTTGCTTTTCCACAATAAGTTGTTCATTAAAAACGGCTTCAAGCTCAATAAAAATTTTTGAATATAATTGTTATAAGGCCATAAAATAACAAAAACTAATATTTTTTTTCATCGAAATTTTTTCTATGCTTTTCGCATCGTGCTAATCTAATATATAAAAATCTCGTATCACGGTGTTAGTGGTCGAACTGCTTCTAAACGGCTCGACCGATCTTTATGAAATTTTTTTGTTATATGTTGGATGTGTTTATGGAAGAGTACTGGAACTTGGTATTTACAAGATATATAAATTCAGTCGCGTGGTCATGAGGAAAAATTGGGACTATTGGAAAAAGGGGCATGGCACCTCCCATGGTAGATTACTCGAAAATGGAGATATATGAAATCAATCTCATACTCTTTGGGAAAATTGGGGCTATTTTAAATGGGGGCGTGGCCTTTCAAGCGCACTGAAACTATTACGTTTCTTTGTACACATGTACAGTTTTGCTAGGCTATTTAAGACGGCAATGGAAATATGCCTTCTGATCACCACCAAACCGTAATATTAGAAGATAAATGCGTCACTGAAAATCATGAACGTGAACTGTTGGTGAAAATGTTAGACCAAAATGTTTCAATACAAAAAATTAATTTTGGGCGGAACGAAGTTCGCCGGGTCTGCTAGTGTAAATATACAAATGTATAAATGTAGACGCATAATAAAACTAATGTATGCATGCAGATGCAAGGAGCTATTCATCATGCGTTATCAGAAAGAAGTTTATGCTTCCCTAGAATCCGAAATAAAGCAACATCCAACTTAGTTTCTTAAAGGACCACTGCATATAATATATAATGTTAAAGATAATGCTACATTGCTGGTGTGCCTTACATTTATAGCAATTTAAATCAAGCTTTTTTAATACGAACAATCATGTAAGTATATTTACCTCGTGCGTTACAACTTACTTTTTAATGAAATAAAAATTCCTTAAAAATTTTTAAAATTTCCAAAATAATTATTTGATTAGGTGGCAGTGCTACCTCAACAATTTACGAAAAGTGGAAACGTCAGTAAGCACAGTTTACGTCAAAAAATTTAAAAGTGAGACTACCTTCGTTTTTTGTATCATGTACTGCAGTGTGTTTTAATTTTGGGAGTGAACTTTCTTCCGACCAAGGCGAATTTATATAAGGTGGTGTTACTAGCTCAGCTGATTTTGTGTATGTGTTTCGCCGCACGGCTTCTGATATAAAATTGAAAAATTTTGTTTGAATTTCTACACACACTCTTACAGATTTTGACAGTTTATGCGCCAAAGCAAAAATAAAATACATGTAAACTTTTGTTTTTGTACGCCTGCTATCACCTTACATTAATTCGCCTTGCTTCCGACGAATTTCTCTGAGCGATTTAATTCTGTATATACTTTAAATTGTATTTCTTATGTGATCGGCGTATCGAAGCATAAATCAAATAAATTTGTTTATTAGTAACCAAAGTTCTNGTATTTCTTATGTGATCGACGTATCGAAGCATAAATCAAATAAATTTGTTTATTAGTAACCAAAGTTCTGTGTCTCGTTTAACTTTTATTCCTCCAGCATTCAGCCTACAACATTCTTTAGTAAACACACCACCAATACTTTACGTACCGGAAAGGAACTGGAGAATATCTGAATCTGAGCAGGTGGGCCAAATAATTACACGAATTCGAGCTGAGGATCCAGAAAACGATGATCTCATTTTTGGCCTTGAACCACACTTTATATCAAACTATAGTGAAGAAAATGACAAACACAATTTACCATTTCGTATTGATGAAGTCAGAGGAAACGTTTACCTCAATGAAAGCCTCATTGGACGAGTAAGTTGATTTTAAAAATATTTCTATGAAATGTTTAGAAACATTAAAATTAACAATTATTGATATCATGATAAAAATATAGTAAGGTAGAACCGCTGAGAGTCACTTTTAAAATTCTTGACGTTTCCAAACAATTTAATTTTTAAATTTACTCACAAACTCACACACACATTTTCATTTTCAATCTCAAGCAACAACAATTTCGAACAATTTCAGTTTTTTATTTTCACTTTTATATGATTTTAAAATGTTGGCAAACTTCAAAAAAAAATCATGGCCGACAAATTGAGAGAACGGTTCTACCCAAGGTGTATTAAACAAGGTGTGATTGACAACTCAGTGCGGCTCTCTTTTAAGGTACTATAATGTCAAAAAGTATAAACAAACGAATTAACCCTTAGTGATGCATGTATCTTATCAGCACTGATGTCCTAGGCTTTTATTTCGATTATAGTTTTGTTTTACTTACATTACTTACATCACATATATTTTGTCAATAAAATAAAACAAATTGTTACAGAATTTTCTTGATAGGCTAGTCCGATCTAATTATCTTTAGTGCAAATAAAACAAGTTTATTCCACTATTACAGCCCAACGTTTCGCTAAACTTATTAGCATCATCAGGGGCGCGTTTGTTTATTTTTGTAGTATTAACACTTAAACATTTCTAAATCTTAATTGCTAAATATCCAAAACCATCTTGTGTGGTAATTTAGTTATAAAATCGTTTTATCAATTTTCTTGTTTTTAATTGTCCTAGTTTTATGCTTTTGCGCGTTTATTTTTATATTTAAATTTTTTATCCTAAGCATTATTCGACACTTATAAAAGTATGATTTTGCATTTTTTACCAATTTTATATGTGAGCTTAACTCAGACAATTTTGAAATTAAATTTTTTTCATGTGAACTAGTTTTCCATTAAAGACCTTGCTTCGAGCGGTTTTAATTTAAGCTCTTCCATACTTGCTTGCATAGTTTAATTATTTCGGTAAGCCGAAATATTTCTGTTGGCAACGTGCATTCTAAAGTGTCGTCTGTTGGAGTTTGGGCATCAAAAAAGAATGATCCTGATCGTGTACTAAATCCTCACTTGTATAAGTTTTTCCGTATGGCATTGGGACTGCGCATGGGTATAAACGAGCTCGTTGGAAAGTGTTTGATTTGCACATCACTTTCCTTGAAGTGGTTTTCACAAACGCGAGATGAATCACGTAGTACAACACCAAAGCTTTCTTCCCATCGCTGCCGTCTTAATTCGCAACTAGGTGGTTTAAAACATCGCACTATTTTCGTGTCCTGACTTTTATTGCATCGTTTCATCTTGGTTTCCTTACATTAAATATTTAAGCAAAGTCGAACGTATTTACTTATTACCAAACTTAAATGTACTTACTTGCTCTTCTCGGCGGTTTATCTCTTAACAATTTCACGTTTATTAAGAAAATTTGCTTTGCTTGAAAAATTTGTATGTATTTTTTTTGTTAATTCAAATTTGGGAAAAAAACACATTTTCAAATGGGTTAACAATTCATTTCAATTTGACATTATAGCCTGTTTCTTATGAGAGCAATGTCAAAATCAATCACACTTTGTTGAATACATTTTGGTTCTACCTTGCTATGTTTTTATCATGATTGATATCATGCGCTAAAAATATTCACAATTCCAGTAAGAACAAAAACAATATTTTGTCGAAATTTATTGAAAAACACCGTAGTAAAGCCTGTGTTCGATTAACAAAAGTGCAAGCGATTGATTTACACTATATCTTCTCTTCACTTTGGTATGAGTTATTGCTCTATAATCAGTTTCTGGTGGGGTGCTACAGAAAGGAACACCCTAACAGACTCTTTCTAGAGGAGGAGCTTCCACCCAGGCACCTCAAGGGGCACCTATTCATTTCATTCATTCAGTCGGTACCACGACTCCCGGCCTATGAATGCCGTGATCGGAGCCCAATCACCCCCTGTGGCAGACACGGCGCTTGAACTGCCAAGAGAGACCCGCGTTACCCTGGTCCAGTTACGGTCTGGATACTGTAGCCGCCTCAACAGCTACCAGTCCAGACTCGACCCCAATATCATCCCCAATGAGTGTCCGGCATGTGGAGACTTCCCGCACGACACCAACTAGAGGTGGAAAAATATCCACGATACTATCGATGGTTTGTGTTTTACAAAAATACTATCGATGTTTTAAGACTATCGATACTATCGGCTGTAATGCAAGATCAATAAGTACACATTATAAATAATGAATAAAACGATGGCTCTCGGTAACTCTTGCCGATGTGCATGACGACTTGGTAGCTCTTATTACGTGAAAAAGCGGGAAATAAAGAGCTACGTCTACCGCAAAAAAAAATCGAAAATTTCTACAATTTGGAATTATTTTTCGAAAGCTAAGGAAAGCAGGGACGTGAACTGGTTTTGAACCGGAATACCGCTTTTTTTCTGTTAATTAACTGTACCATTAACCGAATCGAAATTTTCCACAAATGTTTGATCCGAACCGAAAACCGAACCACTTTCTTTAAAGGTTTAAAGGTTCGTTTCAACCAATTTTCAATAGATAAATGTACCCACTTTTTTTTTCTTTTTGTTAAACATGGTAATACCTACCATGTTTTTTTACCAAGTGACAATATCAAATGTAAAGGCAGCCCATCTCACTTGACCCTTAACCTTGCGCGTTGTTGCACTTGACACTTGACACTTAAATTTGCGCGTTATTTTTTGTTTTTCGAACCGTTGAACCGAACCGAAACCCCGGTTCAAAGACCAAAAAACCGCTTTGACGAAACAGTCCAAAAGTGCAACAACGGTTCGAACCGCTGTACCGAACCGACCAAATTTTTCATCCGGTTCACGTCCCTGAAGGAAAGTAAATATATTTACTTACGGCGCTGCTTATTATACTTGGCGTCAAAGGGAAAAAGGCAAACTACAACTGAGACTCTTACATTGCCCTCTTCATCATTAATCAAAAAAGCTGATTAATCGAAGCCTAATTAGTTAATTAATCAATTCAAAAAATAACAAAATAAGATTTCAATTATTGTTTTTTTTTAATGAAACAATAATTACTCACAATCTGATTAATCAGAATCTGCTTAGTACAAATTTTTGGTTAATCAGGATCATGATTAATAAAAAAATTAATTGGTCGATTAATCGTGCGTGCGTTTACTGTTAAAACATTAAGTTCTTGTTTTATTAATATATTTATGTAACTACATACATATGACATTGAAAGTCGACGTTAAAAATAAATAATATAAAAAAAAACTTTTTAACATACAACGTTTTTATAAATGAACTAAAAAGTAGAAAATAATATTTCTCAGTGCCATAGAATTTGTTTTGATAGCTTTTGATTTTGAAATTTTAGCAAAAATTATTTTAAACTATTTATGATATTGAAAATTAAAGGCGTGGGGCGCATGTAACAGACCTGAATTGATATGAAAGGTAATTAATATATGTATGTATGTGGATATATGAATAACGACCGTTAAAATCGATCTCAAATTTGTACTTTCTCTGTAGAAATTTTAGGTCTTTGTAATGTAGTTTGACTATTGTCAATAAAATCTAAGGCTTTGTATTGCATTTTGGATATAAAATATTGCCAAAGGTTATTACCAGAACTTTAGATGTTATAACTTCACATGAAAGTGGATTAACATAATAATATTAGTACAATAGTGACTAAGTAATAACATGTCCCCACCAAAAAGTTAACCATCTCAAATCGAACTTAACCACATCACTAACTATTGCTGTCCACACTGCGGTTTGAGGTTTATAAAGCAGTACAAATGTAGAGAACAGTGTTCGGAACTCCAAAACTCGATTCAGGACTAAAAATCTGGGCAAAAACAAATTTTGCTTACTAGATGAAATTTTTTATTTTCGTTTGTGACATTAATTGTTTGGCTAAAATATTTTCTATTCATGCAAAAATAAGAACGCGAGGCAATGTAAGGATAATACGTTACATATTTAGGTAATATTTAGCATTTTCTATAAAGTAGAACGTTTCTAACACTTAATTTTTTAAAGAGCAATAGGATCTAAACCTTTTCTACTTTATATAAATTTTATTCTACATATATTTTTTAACAACTTAAATATAGTTCTGCATCCGCCAATTTCTACAGCCATACATCAAAAAATAATCAATTTTGTTACTGAAACCGGTGGTGAACACTCAAAAAATGGCCCTAAGAGGGGCATAACATGAATAAAAAAACGGAATATATTTGAAGTCAAGCGGAGTAGAGGAAGAGATTTCAAATTTTTTCAAAAGTCGGAGTAAATCTAATCAGATCTTAGTTAAGTCCAAACACTAGTAAGGAACGAACTTTTTACATTTTAACGCTAATGACCAACAGATGGCGGGAAAACACAGGGTTGTATCAGACTTTCGACGTGGTTTCGAGTTGGTTAGCTTTTAACCATCTCAGTGAAATGGTTAAGTGCTGTCATTTTTATATGGCGAAACTACGCTAAATGTAGTGGACTATCGGGTTAACCAACTCAATAGCCATAACTACGTGGTTAGCTCCGGTGGGGACATGGTATAAGTGTGAGTCAGATGCTTACTGAAATTAGCAAGTGGTTTTATTCATTTTCCTCCATTTATTAGGATAACTATTACGAAGCTCGGTATTTATTTTTCTAATGGGTATATACAGTGGTGGAAAAATAAATATTGACAAGACTTTTTTTAAATTTTGCCTATTTTTCTTTCGTTTCTTTAATATTTATTATTATACCCGAGCGCACTTGTGCACAAGGGTATTATAACTTTGTTCACATAACGGTTGTTTGTAACAGGCAAAACGAATCGAGATAGATATAGACAAATGTATACATAAATGATCAGAATGAAAAGAGAAATCGATTAAGCGGTGACTGTCTGTCCGTCCGTCCGTCCGTCCGTCCGTCCGTCCGTCCGTCTGTGCACACGATAACTCGAGTAAAAATTGAGA